CATCTTTTTAAGTGGGAGAACTTGCACAATTGGTGGCTGACTAAATACTTTTTTGCCCCACTGTAAAAGAGAAAGCAGAGGAGTTCATATGAGGCCAAGGGAATGGATAAAATCTGGAGACAGCAGTGGTTGACATGCTAGAAGAGGATTCAACTGAAAAATAAAGATTAGCTAAACTGCTCCCTCAGTGTCATTTCACTCCTGAAACCCATTTCTCCAAATCACAGTCCTTGTACTGTTCTTAACTATGGTTCCTACTAACCACATTTCCAGTTTCAGGCCTCTGAAATGCAGAGAGGTTGATGAGATACTCCAGTCTATCACACTACTTTTTATGCCGGCCTTTCCCAAATTAGGACCTTCCGGACGTGCTGGACTTAAGCTCCAATTACTCAGGCCCAGATTGGAGAAGGAGGGTTTTGTTTTGTTTTTTTTTGTAGCAGGACTGAATCCCAGATCAGCATTAGCACACAGGGCTTCCACTGCCAGTCCTAGGTGACAAAGCCAATTAACAAGGATTCAGCTCATGCAGCTCAAAGAATAACAGCACAGGCCCTCCACACAGGTTCCTGACTCAGCTCCTTTTTTCTTTAAAAATAGCACAAAGAGAAGTACGAAAGAAAATAAGGCCAGAGGAGGTAAAAACAAAAAGAGCTTTAGGGAAAAAATGAGAACATAGGAAGTACTGCACAAAATAGTTAGGATCATTTGTAAATCACAAAGGTATTTTAACATTTACCTTACTTTCCCCAACGAATACTCTTAATTAGGTAGCTGCTTTCCTCTGAGTAGCAGAAATATTTCAGCAAAGCATTCAAAATACTTAAATAGCATAGTGTTTCTCAACTTGGCAGCTTTAAGACGTGTGGACTTCAACTCCCAGAATTCCTCAGCCAGCATGGCTGGCTGGGGGATTCTGGGAGTTAAAGTCCACACGGCTTAAAGCTGCCAAGGTTGAGAAACACTGATTTAACAAGTGACAGCACATTTCTCATTGTTTATAATCTCTAATCACTACTAAAGTCTACAGAACCTTAAGAAGTGACACATTCTTCCAGGTGGGTTAAGAAAGTGTGATGTGCTCAAGGTCACCCTAAGTGATCATGGCAAAAAACTACAGCGATGCTATCGATCCCTTTGGAACCAGAGCTTATGCGAAGGAAACCATCTGTTCATGTGGAAATGAGGAAAGGGGACAAAGAGGGGAAAGAAAACAGAGACATCATTATGCAGTTGGAACTAATGAGCAATGAGGTCCAAAATCCCACAGGACAGAGCATCATTTTGTTTCACTCCCTCTGGAGAAAAGAAAGTCTTCTTAACAGATCTTGTGGTATGGCCTAATTAAAAAGAGAGCTGTGATGCCTCCCTGAACACAGTCCTAGAAACATAAGTAACAAAGGATACATCAGCATCCACATAGGATTGCAATAACCGTATTTCTCCTTGAGAATGGCATTCATATAAAGTTACCTGCAGATGGACGAAACACAAGAGGTTAAAGCTCCTGTTTCCCAAAGCTAAGTCCTTCCATACTCACATTGTTGGAATTGGCTGGTGGGGTAATCAAGTTCACCCCATCTCCCGTCATCTTGAATTGCATATAGTCTTTTTATATAGTACTATTTTTTTAGCCAATTTAATATGGATATTTATATTTTTCCTGTTTTTACCATTTGATTTTAATTGTGAGCCACCCTCTGGGGGAGATGGGCGGCATATAAATTTAATAAATAAATAAATAAATAAATAAATAAACAAACAAACAAGTTGAGAATCACCAAGTTAACTCTTCTACAGCAGCGGGAAGGAGAAGAAAAGCTACACAAACAGCTTAACTTAGGTATATCCATAATGTATTTATCCAGCCATAATTTGTCTCAACTATTTTAGACTTGCTCAGTTCTGTCAATGTAACCTTAAATATGTATGTGTGGGTGGGTGCGTGTGTTTGTTTAAAGGTCAGACACAGTATAAGTCTCGGGGGAGGCAAGTGAGCCTA